GTTGGCAAATTATTGGAGAGGATTCTGAGAGATAGTATTTATGATTATTTGGAAAAGCACAGTTTGATTAGAAAAAGTCAGCATGGCTTTGTGAGGGGCAGGTCATGCCTCACAAGCCTTATTGTATTCTTTGAGGATGTGACAAAACACATTGATGAAGGCAGAGCAGTGGATGTGGTGTATATGGATTTTAGCAAGGCATTTGATAAGGTTCCCCATGGTAGGCTCATTCAGAAAGAAAGAAGGCATGGGATTCAGGGAAATTTGGCTGTCTGGATACAAAACTGGCTGTGCAGTTGAAGACAGAGGGTGGTAGTAGATGGAAAGTATTCAGCCTGGAGCTCGGTGATCAGTGGTGTTCCGCAGGGATCTGTTCTGCTCTTTGTGATCTTTATAAATGACTTGGATGAGGAAGTGGAAGGGTGGGTTAGCAAGTTTGCCAATGACACGAAGATTGATGGAGCTGTGGACAGTGTGGAGGGCTGTTGTAGGTTGCAACGGGACATTGACAGGATGCAGATCTGGGCAAAGAATGGAATTCAACCCAGAAAAGTGTGAAGTGATTCATTTTGGAAAGTCGGATTTGAATGCAGAATATAGGGTTAATGGCAGGATTCTTGGCAGTATGGAGGAACAGAGGAATCTTGGTGTCCACGCCCATAGATCCCTCAATGTTGCTACCCAAGTTGATTGGGGAGTAAAGAAGGTGTATGGTGTGTTGGCTTTCATTGGCAGGGGAATTTGTTTAAGAGCTGTGAGGTTATGCTGCAGCTCTATAAAATTCTGGTTAGACCACACTTGGAATATTGTGTTCAGTTGTGGTCGCCTCATTATAGGAAGGATGTGGAAGCTTTAGAGAGGGTGCAGAGGAGATTTACCAGGATGCTGCCTGGACTGGAGGGCAGGTCTTATGAGGAAAGATTGAGGGAGCTAGGTTTTTTTCATTGGAGTGAAGAAGGATGAGAAGTGACTTGATAGAGGTGTACAAGATGATGAGAGGCATAGATAGAATGGATAGCCAGAGACTCTTTCCCAGGGCAGAAATGACTATTACGAGGGGGCATAATTTTAAGGTGATTGGAGGAAGGTATAGGGGAGATGTCAGAGGTAGGTTCTTTACACAGAGAGTGGTGGGCGTGTGGAATACATTATCGACAGTGGTAGTGGAGTCAGATACTTTAGAGACTTTTAAGCGACTCTTGGATAGGCACATGGAGGATAGTAAAATGTAGGGTATGCAGGGTAGATTGATCTTGGCAGGATAATAGGTCAGCACAACATCGTCGGCTGAAGGGCCTGTACTGTGCTGTACTGTTCTATGTTCTATGAAACATACCAACATACTGACTATGAGACATAATACAACAAGCACAGGGAAACACACTGTGAGTGGTCATGCTCTTTTCTGGCCACCACTTGCCCTCCTAGGGATTGAGAAACCTGATGACGTGCACACCCCAGCAGGTCTTGGACCTGTCAGCCCAGCTACGCGGGTGGATGGAAGAGCAGTTAATGATAATGCATGAACAAGGGAGATGGTGAGGATCTCCATTGAATGAATAAAAAGTGTATGAGGCAGGAGGGAACGTAGAACATCCAGCCCAGGAGCCTGCCCGCTATTCTAAATCATGGCTGATTATCCCTTCAGTGCCACTTTCCTGCACTATGTCCATACCTAATAAAGTCCTCAGTCAACAGAAACCTTGCACGTTTGGTCTAGAATTTGCTCATTGATTGAGCTTCCACAGCCTTTCAAACTGTTTACTGTACTTGCATGGTATGTTTTAGAGACTTCTGTACATGGACATTGCAATCCCTTTGGACATTTTCACTTCCCAACCATTTAAGAAACATCCTACCTCTCTGTTTTGGCTACCAATGTGAATAACTTGATACCTAATTACATTCTATTCCATCTGCCATGCTCTAGCCCATTCAATTAGCCTGGCTGATTCATTTTGAAACCTCATTATAACCTCCTCACACTTACATGCCCACCCAGTTTGGTATAATCGATAAATTTGGAGGTATTACTATTAGCCCTGACATACAAATTATTCATTTAGATTATGCACAGTTGCAGACCCAGCAGTGACATTTGCAGTATCCCGTTTGTAATACCCTGTCTTCCTGAAAATGATCCATTTGTTCCTACTTTGCTTTCTCTTTATGATAAAATTCTCAATCCATACTAATTATTCGCTGCACCTCCTCTACACCCCCCTCCCCTTTCCATGTGCTCCAATTTTATTCACTAACCTCCTATTTAGGATGTTATCAAAAATCAATTAAAAATCCAAATAAACTACATTGCCTATATTACAAATAACATTCTCAAACAAGTTTTCAAACATGATTTTCTTTTCCCAAATCCATGCTGACTCTGCCCAATTTTACCATTCATTTCTAAATGTTCAGTTATCACATCTTTTAATAATCGATTCTAATGTGTTCCCTACTACAGACATCATCCTAATCAGTCTGTAGTTCCCTACTTTCCCTCTCCTTAATTAAATGATGGGTTGATATTTGCCATCTTCCAGTCAGAAGGAACCTTTCCAGAATCCATAACATTATGAATGATGACCACCAATGCATTCTTTCAACGCTTGTGATGAAGCTCCTCTGATCTAGGAGATTTATCAACCATCAATCCAACTAATGTTTCAACTAAAAATGACATGAGGGGCAATTTTTTTACACAGAGTGTGGTTCGTGTGTGGAATGAACTTCCTGATGAAGTGGTGGATGTGAGTACAATTACAATGTTTAAAGACATTTGGATAAGTACGTAAATAGGAAAGGTTTGGAGGGATATGGGCCAGGAGCAGGCAGGTGGGACTAGTTTAGCTTGGGAACATGGTCGGCACGGACTAGTTGGACCGAAGGGTCTGTTTACATGTTGTATGACTCTCTGATTCTACTACCTCCTTATTGGTGCTAATTTCTTTTTGTTCTTCAATTAAACAAGCCCTTTAGTTTCAGGGAGATTTTCCGTGTCTTCTTATATGAAGACAAACATAAAGTAATTGTTTTGAGAGGTGCCCATATGAAGGTGAAACAGCAGAGAGTAGATGGTGACACTGACTCTTGTAGATTACAGAAGATCATTGACCTTCTGACTACCCTGCTGGACATGTCTCTTCTTTCGGTTCACAGCACTGTCCTGGGATCCAGGCTGGCTGTATCTGGAGGAGGAAACAGGTAAAAAAGAGCAGAAGATGGCACAAGGAATATTACTATGTGCTACGATAGACTGGGCTCCATGAAACTCACTCAACAAAACATTTTATCAGCAAATTGGCAAAGTTTTGCCTACTGTCTCTCAAATCAATGTAACCTGTAAGTAGTTGCTACATGTAACAAACTGTGTCTTGTTAACCACAAAAGACTCTTGTAGGTCGACCAAAAAGTAGCTTTCCTCTGCTGTGTTAGATCAAGCAGTCCCCATGACGTCCTTTACTTCAAGAGGATAGTTGTAGAAATCTTCTTCATGAGTAGCAGCTCATACAGCATAGTGACTGGCATACTCATACACCAATTATAACTGAACATAGGCTCCAGAGCACCAAGATGGACCTTTCAACCAGCTAGGTTTGGCAGTCAACAGTCTCCAGAGGAAGAAGGTGCAAGTCCAGCTAATATCTCTTTCCAGTACTGCCAGAAGGAAAATCTTTCAGTTCAGGGATCTTCCTCCTGGGATAATCTGTATATCCAACAAGAAAGTGAGAATTTGGGCCTAACCAGTGATTGAGTCCCCTACATTCATGTCATGGCTACTTATGGATCAATGAATTGTCCTGTCTAAAACACAGGCCTAACATAATTTGCAGTAATTTTCAAGACAGATTGTTACAAAGGAATGTAGCTTGCGCTCTGCTCTATTGGAAGAAAAAAGGTTTAGCAATCTTCTAAGAAATTATTTTGCTGGCTATTATAACAAGGCATTAATGCCTTCAAAATATTATCTTCACTAAACAGCAGAGGAAATGGAATTTCATACAAATTTTTTTAACAACACACAAATTTGCCAGCCCGATAATGAGTCTATTCTTGAATAGTAGTGAATTAAAAATTTCATTTAGTCAGGTAAAATGATTTCAACTACTATGTGAGCATTGTATTTATAGCAAGACTGTGTTGTAAGATGAATCCTCACCACAGTTTATCATGGTTTAAGATCTCTCTAGTAGTTTTGTTATCACCATCCTCCTTCCTGATAGGGATCCTCAGTGCCTGCTTGGTCTAATAGAGGAAACCCACCTGCTACTATAATGAGAAAAGGAATTTGTCTTAAACAAAATGTAATTTATTGTATGATATCAACTAGGTACATTAGTAAAATACATTGTTATGAAGATGGTGACGGAGACCTCTTTGTTGGATATTACTTCTTTGAGATGTAAAACTTGCCCCTGACCTGAGCCCATGTGACATCAACATGTTGAGCAGTACTTAATGTATTTCTCAATATTAACCAATTCAGACCCTTTTAACAGGGAGGTGATGGCCTAGTGACATTAACACTAGACTGTTAATCTTGGGGACCAGTGTTCGAATCCTGCTGTGGCAGTTTGTGAAATTTGAATTCAATAAGAATCCAGAATTAAGAGACTGATGATGATCACGAAATTGTTGGAAAAGCCCATCTGGTTCATTAATGTCCTTTAGGAAAGGAAACTGCTAGCCTACATGCGACTCCAGACCCACAGCAATGTGATTGATTCTGAACTGCCCTCTGACCAATTAGGAATGAGCAATAAATGCTGGCCTAGCCAGTGACACCCTCATCCTGTGGATAAACAAAAGGAAATGTCTCCTCCCAAATATTTAAACTGGAATGAATTCAGAGTTAATTTAGTCCTCAAAAGTTAGGGCTTGGTTCGATCAAGTTTGTAAACCTTATTCAATAAAGTTAGTTAGTGCTTGGGTTCAGATCCCTGTCGTATTTTCTTGTTGTATAGAATTAATCACTTGATGAATTTATTTTTAATTTTCAGGATTCATTTTCCAGTGTCTTCCACATGACTTCAGCAGAGCTTGGAGATCCGTCAGAGTTCCAGAGAAGGTAACGTACAATGTCATTCATCATCCTTCTATTATACATGAAAACTGAATTAGGAATGATGATATTTGCCTCAGCACTCAGCTTTTATCCCATCGAAACTATAGATAAAGCTTCAATCTAATTTACTTTTATCAGAAAAGACCCTCCAGGAACTCACGAAAGGAAGCAATAAAAACATTTTGTTATTGTGCCAGATGATTCCTAGTGTCTGCGACAGGTTATTTGACATGTTTTGAAGCAGGCAGAGTAATATGCACTGACTCAAGCCATTCTCTGCATTACGGTTTATATAATATTTTAAACAGCCCACTCAAACCTCTCCTGCTGATTCTTTCTTCAACCTAATTCTTATGAAATCAAGCAAATTGCATTTTCAAAGCCTAGTGGACACTAGTGAGAAAGTCAGAGTAAAAATACAATTCAAATAGAACTATTTAAGATTCTCAATTTGTGGAATTATGAAAGCAGTGCAAGTTTGTAAAGTCTACTCTATAAAGTTGGGTATCGTTAAGAAACATTGAAGCAAATCAGTTGAGGAGACAAATCGGCCATTTTAGCTGTGAAGTTCTGGTGATGTGAGTTTAACACAATAGGCTGGATTTTTCTATGTTAAAGTTCAAGTTCAAGCAGAGATGGGAAAAAGATAAAAATAGCTATTTTGAGTCGTCAGCCCCAAGCATTTAATTCAGAGCTAGGGTGTTCTGGGTCTGCTTTTATTAAGGAGTTTGTGGGCCCAACTGAGAATTTTTTTTCATTTTCAGGGATGCAGCTGTAGTTTAGCAGCTGTCTGTCTCAAGACCAACTGCATGGAAATGTGAATCTTAAAAGATAAATAAAAATGGTTTTTAAAGTTTAACGGGCTTATTCCTTTGTAATTAAAGGTCCATTGTAGGTCAGCAGAGGAGTCAGACTTAATAATGATGTCAGCTCAGGGGTCCTGACATCACTTAGCATCATGTGGGTATTGGAGCAGGTGGGCACAGCTGTTTGGACTTTACCAGGGGCAAAGCAGCTGGAAATTGGTGCTGAAGCCTCATGGATTGAGGTTATTGGAAATGAGAAGTAGCAGCCAGCACTGGAAAGGCAGAGCACCAGGCATCAGAAGAGAGGGACAAGGGAATCAAAGGAGAAAGATATACTACCTTGAGTGCAGGATCTACAGGCAGAGGTGAAGGCACCTGTACATGACTGGAACCAGTGATGAAGAAGATGCAGGTCTCCGGATACATGATTACAGATTTCTCTGTCCTTGTCAACTACTGACGTTGGGTGTCACACAATGGCTGGATATCAGTGTGACAACCGAGGTGATAGATATCATCTTCACCAACACCAAAAAAAATCATCAAAATCATAATAGTGACAACACTGCAGACTCAGAGGTTACCAGATCCAGACCCAGGAGTGTTCAGGTGGCGCCCTCCAAAATCCTAAGGCTGAGGAGATGACCAAGAATAGAGAGATATTCCTGTTGCATGACAAGGAGGCATCCTGTTGGCAATTTCTGGAAAGAGGGACCTCCCTTCTCTCCCTTGCACTCTTGAGGACCAGTCTTCCCTGTGCCTGCTATGACAGGCCATTGTACAAACTCCCTCCCTTAGGGTAAACACGGGCAATCAGTGATGGCTGCCATAGGTTGTCTGCAATCTGCTTCTATTCCTGCCTCCACTTGGTTAACTTGGTGGGAAACCTACTTCCATCCCAATTGAGGGATTACCCCATGAAAACTGCAACTGGTCAAATTTCAGGTAGATTCTGATTCTAACCCCAGAAATACCACTTTCATTAGGAAAATCCACATCAGTACATCATTTTTACCCTTAAAGCCTCCAAATCCCACTCTGTAACTTAGCTGAGAACAAACAAAAATGAGCACAACACTGCTGGGAGGATTCATGTAAATTTTGAAATGTCATAAAGCATGTAACAAACATTGCAACTGTACATATTTTGCACAGCTAACAATAACAAATATCTGTCCCATTCTGTTATTTTTATATCTGCAACAGGGTGCATTTTTGTTATGTGCTTTCTCCTTCCTAAGGCCTCAAAACTACATTATTAGATCTGGATTTTACTTCAGGTAGATTTGCCTTTGGAAGAATGGGAATACTTCTGTCTGCTTTCACCATGAGCTAACTCATGTTACTGATTCAGGCTGGTTCAGTTCAGTTTCTGGTCATTGGTAACCACAAGGTTGCTGATAGTACAGGATTAAGCTGTTGTAATGCCATTAAATGTAAAGGGGAGTTGGTTACATTCTCTCTTGCTGGAGCTGGTCATTGCCAGGTGCTTGTACCATGCAAATGTTACTTCTCACTAATATGCCCAAGCATGGATGTTCTCCAAGTCTTGCTGCATATGGGCTGCTTCAATGGCTGAGGAGCCATGAGTGATGCTGAACATTGTGCAAATATAAGTGGCCATTGTTCAGCATGAAAACTGTGGCCAAGAAGGTCAAAGAAACAATGTGGGGCAAGTCTTAGGCAAGAAAATGCTGACTGTATTTGGTTTAGTTCTCCATGCATTATGTCATGGCAAAATCACCATTTAAATCTAAATATCCATTTAGTAAAAATATGGTGGAAAGGCTTACTTTTCTATTTGAATTCATTACTTCATCCTAACTTCAGATCATCAATAAAAAAGAGACTAATACGTGGGGAATCTATTTATCTTTAAAACAAATATGGGTATGTTAACTTCCGTAACCATTGTTTAAATGTTATGATAAGTTATCATTCTGGTATCAGAGAAACATGTGGCAACCTCCCGTGGAGACCCAGTGAAGTCAATTTAAATATATGATTGTGTAAAACAAGCAATACCATATTAGCTGCTCATATAAGGGCCCTGATTTTCATTTTACAGGCAGCAAGTCCAATTCTGCCTACTTTCCATAACCACCCAAAGTCAAGACTATTTTCAATTGCTTTGACAGCACCATAAGTTTTTCACAAATTGATGTTCGAGTTACAGTGCACTTTTCCACCTAAGTATAACTCCTTTGAGATGACAAAACCTTTTTTTTAAATATATTTAAAATGCACAGTTTTAAATACAAATCAACTTCGAGGCTGGATTGACAGTTATAAAATGGATATAAAATACTAAAATCCCTTAGTTTAAATTGATTTAATTAAACTGACAAAACGTTTTGCAAACAGCAAGAGAAAACAAAATTTAACATTTCATAGCAAAGCCAATATTAACTTTAGGGGTATCTCCAAAAGGTGGGCAAGAATTTTGGTGAAAACTGGACATGTTCATATATAGGGATAACAAGGTGTAGAGCTGGATGAACACAGCAGGTCAAGCAGCATCAGAGGAGCAGGAAAGCTGACGTTT